TATATAAATTATATATCATATATATAAATATATTATATAAATTATATATCATATATATAAATATATTATATAAATTATATATCATATATAAATATATTATATATAGTTATATACATATAATTATACATATATAAATTATAATGGCTAACAGTATTGTTGTCAAAGAGTTTCCTAGCATTGCTTAAAAAGATAAAAGACACTGCATCTGTTTACCAATTTTGGCTATGCAAGTGCGTCTCCCTAGGGTGGTTTGGGGTGAGGAGTGTTGTTGAAAACAGTTTACTTCCTTTAATTGGCTTAAACATACCAGAAGAAACCGGTTTATACCATGAGTATAGCTAGCTTCATGTACTGTACATAGGAAATGTACACACAGAATCTTTAAGCTGGAATTAACTTCATCTGACCCTCTCATTTTACCACTGAGGCACGGAAAAGGGAAGTAATTTGCCCAAATTCATTTTCACACAGTAAATTGAAGAACTGGGATTTGAACCCAGGTCCTCCAAAATCCAAGGTTCTTCCCTATGTGGTTAGGGTCTTTTAAATATATGTATAAATACACTTTGCTTAGCAAACCCAGTTTCATAGGTAATATAGGGGTAAGCTTCAATGTAGTCATGCTGGAATAATCCCAGGTTCTAAAGTTGTTAGGGGTTATTATGCCTTTTTTTGTTGTCTTTCATCTTTTTGTCTGCTCCTTTCCTGCCATTTTTTTCCTTCCTCCTCTTTCCATTTCTTCTCTGCTTTGAGCACAGTCTAACAAATTCCAGGTTTCCTTTCTGCCAAGGAATGAAAGCATTAGGCCTTGCCATGAGCAATGAGAGGTTAGATGAGTGCAGAATAGCTCTGCTGTGACATCATTCCTAGGGAAAGAGACTCTCTTTGTCACTGAACCCAGAGAATGGCTCTCCCTCAAGCATATGGTGCATCCTACAGCAAGGAGGATTTGAGTCCTGTCATAGATCAGGCTCATAAAATCTAAAATCATCCTCTACTCCCACCTCCTCCACAGTTCATTTTAGACTGTGCTGACCTTGAGACCTGAATTCTTTCTCATCCGGAGCCGGCCCATCCACATATCCGTCAGCAGCATCTGGCTGCAGGTGTGAGCAATGAAGTCTCGGTGCTTGGCAGCTACCGCAAGCTGCAGGCATGTGGCATTACTCCAGTTCTTCAGCTCGTAGGTCAGCAATTTCATTGCCAGCTGTTCATCCTGCTTGTAGGACTGGTCCAACAGCTCCACAGCCAACTGTCCGAAGTCCCTGAAACACAGGAGGTGCTTAGGAATCTCTCAGGTAATAGGAGGATCTAGGAAAGGATGGGGAGAGGTGTTAAGAAATGGAAGCTAGGGCTAGACCTCACAAATGGCATTGTGGGAAAAATCAATGGATTGGGAGTCAGGAGACTTGGGGTTCAAGTCCCAGCTCGGCCATGTTTGTGACTTTTGGCCTCAGTTGTCTCATCTGTAAAATAAAAGAGTGGAATTAAACGATCTCAAAGGTTCCATGTTCTGTGATTTATACTCTCCTTAAGGCCAGAGTTAAGAGCTCAAAGGAATCTTAGGGATGATCTAAAGTTGACCATGCCTGCGTCTATTTTCCCATTTAAGATAGAGATGATAATAGTAACTACCTCACAGGGTTGTTGTGAAGAACAGATGAGACAGCATATTTTACATATTTGCAAACCTTAAAGTACTAAGTAAATGTTATCATCATCAAGATCAAAAGGAATTTGGATTATTTTGTCTAGAAGCAGACTCCACACTGCAGTGGGGACGTGGCCTTAGGTTCTTAAAAGCTATTACAATAGGTAGTAATAATAGTCACATTTGTATAGCATTTGAAGGCTTATGAAATGCTTTCTATATATTATCTTGTTTGATGCTCACAACAAATCTGTGAAAAAGGCGCTGTTATCACCCCCATTTTATAGATGAGGAAACTAAGGCTCAGACGAGTTAAGGGACTTGTCCAAGGTCACACATATCTAATAAATGTCCAAGGCAGGATTTGAATTAAGATCTTCTATGTTACAAGTCCAGTGATCTATCTGTTATACCAGTTAGCTATCTCAGATTTCCAACAAGTTGGAAAACTTTTGATATGGACCCAATGAAAGACTGGATCTTTACCTTTGAAGAACCAGCCTATTTACATTTGGAGTGGCTCTTCAACAGGTAAGTTACAGAACAATGATATTGATAATTTTTTTTTAGCCATGGAAACTCACAAAGACCATAGACTAAGGTACAGAGAGGTTGTGATCTCTCTATATTAGTAGGAGGTAAGGAGTTATCACACTAGTGAAATCATAGATCCTTGGATGGAGGGAATGTACAGTCCTACAGGAAAGGGTCTTTGCCAATGATATCCAATAGAAGGGAATGGATATTAAACCGAACCATGAGGAACCTAGGTTAGAATGTTTTGACGATGAAACTAGAGTGGTTAAATGAGGAAGGTGGCAGAATCTTTCTCTTGGAAATCCTTAAAAATGAGGAAGGCTTTCAGTTGTCTGGAAGAGCTTAAGTTTGTTTAATTTCCTGTGATTTCTGCTGGTTTCAGTAGAAGTGCTACTAGGGAGATGGGGAAGGTTCTTCTGGTGATGGGCCAGTATGGGAAAGACATTGAGGATGAAGGAGATAGGGACTTAGACTTGGAGTTCAAATCTTCACTCAGATACTTGCTAGCTGTGTGATCTCTGGCAAGTGATTTAACCTCTCTCAGCCTCAGCTTTCCCCTCTATAAAATGGGATAATAGCATCATCTATCTCATAGTATTTTGAGGATCAAATGAGGTGTGTGTGCAAAGACCTATTATTTCTACCTTCACAACATCTCTAGCATGTGTCTTCTCCTCTGACACTGTCACCACCTTGGTGAAGGTTCTCATTACCTCATGCCTGAACTATTGCAGTAGCCTTCTAGCTGGTCTCCTGACTCCATTCCATCTTCCGCTCAGCTGTCAGAGTGATCTTCCTAAAGTGTAGGTCTAACCATGTGACTCCCTTACTCAGACTCCAATAGCTCTCTATTTCCTCCAGGATTTAAGAAAATAAACCCAATGTTTATCTTTTGAAGCCTTTCACAACTTGGCCCCTTCTTACTTTTCTAGTCTTCTTATTCTTTAACTTCCTTCCATATATGCTAGAATCCAATGACATTGGCCTTTTTGTTCTTTACATCTAACACTCCCATCTTTTGACTCCTATGGTTTTTACTGGAAGTCCCCCATGCTTGGAATGTCTTCCCTTTTCACCTCATTCTACTGACTTCCTTCAAAACTCTGCCCAAATTCTACTTTCTGCAGGAAGTCTTCTCCAGTTGCCCCTCTTCCCTCAGTGTGTTTTCCCACTGAGATTACCTCTGATTTACCCTATTTACATACATATTGTTTGCATGTAGTCTTTCCCATTAGAATGTGAACTCTTTGTTCAGGGCAGAGAACGGGGCAACTGTTTTTGCCTTTCTTTGTATTACCGGAACTTAGCATGCTTTGAAAGTACTATGTAACTGTGAGCCATATGTCAGTCAGAAAACATTTATTAATTGCCACTATGTGTCAGGCACTGTGCCATGCACTTGGGGTTACAAAGAAAGGCAAAGGACAGTGCTTGCTCTCATAGTCTAATGAGGGAACAGCATGTAAACTAGGTATTGAGGCAGAAAGAGGATAGTTCAAGACAAGGCTACTTTATCTTTTCTTCTTTTAGTTGAAAAAATCTTTTTCTTCCAGAGGATATGGGACTAAAAAGCACATTAGGGACCATTTAATTTTATGGATGGTAAAACTCATTTTACACATGAGGGAATTAAAGCTGAGAGAGGTCAGGCTACTTGCCCCAGGACATACAGGTACTAAATGGTAGAGCTGATATTTGAATACAGGTTTTCTAGCCCCAAATCAGGTGGCTAACCTTTCCCCTACTCTATTGTTAACTCTGCTTCAGTGTCTCCTATCTGAGCTATTAGTTTGACTTTAAAAATAATTTTTGCATCAACTATCCAGAAACTTAGTTCGATTGCCAATGTTAGTGCTAATGGGCTGACACCTCACATGTGGCATTGTTGGACGCTCTGTTTGGCAGGTTTACGTACCCCCGACACTGTTGTTAGCCAGCCATCAGGCTGTTGTGGAAGTAGAGACCACCCATCCAAGTTTGGCTGAGAGTAATAAAGCATAGGGAGTTGGGAACAATAATCACTCAATCACCACAAACTAGGGGAGGGGTAATGCCCAGTCATCTCAGGTCAGGGATTATAGGAACCAGCAGATATATCCCACCTGTTGCTAATTATTATTTCCCTATAGCTTCTGCATCAGTGGATTGAAGCATCTAGTGTTTCGACAGTAAGCCTTGATTGTAGTTGCAGTGGGACTACTTCCAGCATCACTGGACCCTGTCCCAGAAGCTATGGATGACCCACCTATTCTGCTCTGGCTGTGTGATTTTCATGGGTCATACCCAAGGTCACTGACTCAGAGCAAGACTAACTGTCATACGTATTTCCCAGAAGGGCAGGTTACTATTGCAGGGCCCTGTTAGTTTACATGTGCTTGGGAATGGAGCTTTTCTTGAGGGAAAAATTCACTTATAGATTGGTAGTTTATTGTGAGACTTGGCTCATAGCCTTGAACCTGAGGCAGAGCAACCCGAGAAACATATTTATTTGTGAATAGTCAGGAGCAGAAGGGAGGAACAAACTTGACCTTTATACTTAAGCTTTTCAGTTGGGAACTGGGGACTTGGTTCAGATTAACCTTGGGTTTTGGCTTCAGTTCTCATTCTTCCCTTTGATGGACTGGTGGTGTTCTTTTTCTGAAGTTAGAAAATAGGTTTTCAGCCTATAGGGTTCCCTTTTCATGCTGCTGTGGCTACACTCTGAGATTGTACAAAGAACAGAGTCAAGGAGTCTGGAAGGCTGCTGAGATTAAAAAAAAAAAGACCTTTTCTTACAAAGATTAGCCTAACCAAAATGAGGTAAAACTGCAAATCTCCAAATCCTGCTTTGCTCTGGAGACTTTGCTGGCCCTTATGAGTCGATCCAAGAAATTTGCCTAAGCAGCCAGCTCCTGGGGTACTTCTCTAAATCTTCACTCTGGGGCTTGACCCAGCCATCATTCATACCTATCCATTTGCATATTAAGGGACCAGCTTCTGTGTTTAGAACTAAAAGAGGCAGAGGACAATGGTGCCTGATGCCAGGCTTCCAGGAGGCAGGATAGTGTTCTGGTGAGAAATTTAGTCTGATAGAGGATACATTGATATTAACTGTAATATGATCAGAAGGAAGGGAGTTTAGGAGAAGCATGGGGTATACTGTTTCTCTTGCCACTGTTTCATTGGGCAAATTATTAGTGGTAGTGACCCTCATCCTACCCTCAATGCACTGATAGGCAGCTGGTAGGCAGGTTTTAAGGAAGGGGAAACTAGGAAGTACTGGATGATGACTGCTCAATGCAGTGAGCAGTCATGACTTTAGAAAACTGATGGTGAAGCATATCCTTGAGGTGGTAGAGATGCAGAATGAGAGCTATATTTTTATACATGGTCAAGATATTGAATTGTTTTGCTTGAGGGAGTCTATTGGGGGGTCAATCTTATTACCACCCCCTGCTTCTCCTTCAGTTCAGTGACACTGACCTCTTTGCTGTTCCTCAACCAAGACACTCTATCTCCTGATTCTGGGAATTTTCACTGGTTGTCCCTCATGCCTGGAATGCTCTTTCTCAATTCTAGTGCTTTTCCTTTGTTAACTATTTCCAATTTATCCTGTATATAGATTGTTTGTGCATAGTTTGCCCTTTGCCTCTCTCATTAGATTGTGGTCTTTTGCCTTCATTGGGCATCCTCAGTGCTTGACACATAATAGGTGCTTAATTACTATTTATTGACTGCGAGGGAAGTAGAGTGATGTATTAAAAAGAAAAGAACAACAGTCAAAAAAAGTGGCTAATGGCAACCACCTGGGCAACTTATCCTGCTTCACCTTTAATTTTAGTATCTTTTTTTCTCATTTCTCAAAACCTTTTCAGCTATCTTACCAACAACCATGTTTATTTTCTGCTTGCAATGGCAGAATTGAAGCTTCTCCAGTCTCCAAATAATTGCCATTTTTTTTTGCAGTTAGAAGTCATTAAATGATGCTTATTTAAAAAAAAAAACACAGAGTTAAGAGTTTGGTGGTAAACTCATTCCAGATCCCTTCTATTGTAATTTTCATTGGAACCTCCCTTTGTGGTCTCACATCAGATAAGGTGTCAGATTTAGAGCTGGAAGAGGCTTTAAAGGACATCTAGTTCAATTTCCTTATTTTATTAATGAGAGTACTGAGGCTTAGAGAAGTTATATGACTTGCTCAGGGTTATACAGTTAATAAATGTCATAGCTGGGATTTAAGCTCAGGTCTTCCTATCTCCAAACCCAGCATTCTATCCACTATATCACATTGTCTCTACGCGAGTGGTAGAGAATGGGAGTATCAACTGCTCTGATTGTATCTCTAGGTCACAGGATAATGTTGGTTAACTTGTGAATTGGTGTGACCATTCTGGAAAGCAGTTTGGAATTATGCAAAGAAAAATGACTAAAATATCACTACCCTTTGACCCAGAGTTTCCACTGATAGCAGCGTATACTTCAAGAAGGTCATTGACAAAAAGAAAAGTTCCATATCCACCACAACACTGATAGCAACAATCAAGTAGATTCCCGTGGACTGAAGAATGGCTAAATAGATTGTACATGAATGTAATGGAATATTATTGTGCTATAAAAAAAAAAGCATGATGAATACAGAGGAATGTCAGAAAATATACATGAACTAATTTAAGTGAAGTAAGCAGAGTCAAGAAAACCACTTATAGAATGACTACAACAATATAAATGAGATCAACAACCACAGCAAATTGAAATGGAATCCAATAAAATTATGGAACAAGGTTGGCTCTAAATAAGAGGGATGAGAAGACTCTCCCTCCCCACTTTGTAGAAGTCAGGGTATGGAATGCTGCATATCAGAGTATTTCAAAAGTGTTGATCAGTTTTTTTTTGTCTCTTTGTATTTTTCTTTCTTTTAAAATTATTATAAGGGGGAAGGAAATCTAGGTTATGTAAAAATAAAAGATATCCATAAAAATCTATTTTTTAAAAAAAGGGACATTATGGTTAGAACAGCACTAGGGATTGTTCTACTGCCAAATATATGAACCAAGCCATGGTTTCTTTCTCTTCTCCACCTATTTGCTCAAATTAACCTGGATCCGAATGCTGCTTAATTCTCTTTTGCACTTTAATATATTTATAGAATCAGGGAGATAGAAGGGTCTTCAGGGTCATCTGTTAACAGATCATGAATTTTAGTTACAAAATCTTCAAAAAGTGATCAGTCTTTTAAACTTATTGTGTAAACAGGTAATGGTCTAAGTTGGAAATAAATCCCTCTCTCTGTGTTCACAAGGATAAAGGAATACTGCCAATTGGAATAACTCACTTCATATTTTACTGGAAAACAAAACAAGAGGCTGTCAACCAATAAGCAAGTTCCCTTTTCTGCCTTATTCTATTCCTCAGAACCTATCTGTGTCATTCATTTCTCCAGCCTCTGATGAAGAGGTGATTCTTCAACTTGTGCTCTTGATCCTGTCTCCTGCCGGAGTTTGCCCCTTTGATCAGAACCTCATCAATTTCACTTATTTATTATTGACTCTATTCCTACTATGTACAAAGATGCTCAATCATCCCTAAAAGGCCCCTATTCGACTCTTCCATTTACTCAAATGATCAGCCCTCAACATTTCATTTTCAAACTTCTAGAAAAAGCTGCCTATCCTCAAGGACTGCCAGTTATTCACTTGTGCTCAAATCTGCTTTCTGACCTCAATACCCAACTGAAATTTCTCTATCCAAAGTTACTACTTACTGATTTTTTTACTGCTAATTCTGATGACCTGTTATAGCCTTCATACTTTTTGACCTTTCTTTTAAGGAATTTTAAGGATTATTATTATTTTTTATATTATATATTAGGTATATATTTATATTAGATATAATATATTGTTATACAGAATATATTATTATATATTATCTATAAAATATTTATATATTATATGTAATATACACATATATTATTATATATTATCACACATTATTATAACATATGCTATTATACATTATTATATATAATACAAACAATATTCATAATATACATTGTTATACATAATATACATTATTATATATTATTATATAATATTGTTACTATTATTATTTAAGGATGATTATTATTATATGGATAAATTTAAGGAAAGGAGTTAACTACTTCTTTTTTTCTGGATACTCTGTCCTCCCTTGCCTTTATGAATAGCTCTCTCTATCATGGTTCTCTTGTTTGTTTTATCACTCTAGTCTCCTTTGTTGGGTCTGGGTTCCACTTCACCAAAATGTGGGTATTCGCCCAAGGCTTTGTTCTGCATGTCTCCCCATAGCCACTTCTGATGATCTCATTAGCTTCTTTGGGTTGAATGATCTCTAATGATGGTTTCCAAATATGTTATATCCAGTCCTGATTTCTTTCCTGAGCTCAAGTCATACATTGCCAAATGCCAGCTAGGATGCCTTCATTTAGGTCTCCTGAAGACATTTGAAACAACATATTCAAACAGAAATACCTATCTTCTCCCCTAAAACTGTTCTTCCTCTAGACTTTCCCATTTTTAAAAAGGTACCACCATCCTTACCTTTTAAAAGGTACCACCATAACATAACTTTGGAGTGATCCTTGACTCTTTATCCTCTGTATCCAAATAGTTGCCAGGCCTTATCAATTCTTCCACTATGACATCTTACATCTGTCTCCTTCTCTCTACTCATTCAACTCAATAGGTCCTCATCACCTATTGGTTAGACTATCACAATAGTCCCCTATTTAGACTCTGTTTCTAATCTCATCTCTGTTTAATCTATCTTCCACACCAGTGGTGTCAAACTGAAATAGAAACAGGACCCACTAACCCTTATCTAAGGATCCCTGTGGGCCATATGTTGACTTAAAAAAACACATATTGACATTCTATTCTATTCTATTTTTACTTTGCTAAATATTTCCCAATTAATTTTAATCTAGTTCAGTGGTACTTGGGATTGTTGCAACAGCTCTGCTCTATACAATTGCCAAATAATTTTCCTAAAACACAGGTGTCTGACCATAGGGGAATGATCCCCTGTTCAAAAATTTCCAGTGTTCCTTATTTTAAAATATAAATCCCTGAGCTTGACATTTAAAGCCTTTTACCATCCGCCTACTTCTCCAGGCTTATTTAAATTATTTTCCTTTACACATTATCAGTTCTAGCAAAAATGGCTTGCTTTCTTTTCCTTGGATTTGACATTCCTTGTCTTGCTACCATGTCCTGAATGTTTGGAATAGATTCCCTCCTTACTCTCTGCTTCTCAGGATCCTTAGACCCCTTCAAGGCTCAACTCATATGTTACTTTCTATGGAAGGCCTTTTATGATTCATTCTCTCTCCTTCCTCAAATTAGATTGCATTTATTTGTCTGCTTTCATAGCGTATCCCCTTTAGAAGCAGGTAAGGTGCTGGAAAGCAAGGACTGGTCTTTGCTTTGTTTTGTATCTCCAGTGCTTAGCACAGTACCATGCATGTAGTAAATGCTTACAAAAAGTTGGTTGAAATGAATTGAATTTTGGAGACCAAGGGATCACTCAGCCATCTAATTTGGGCAATAGTGGAAAACTAGGCATAAGGTGAAAAATGAATATCCTCCTAAAGAATCCATTTATGTTTGTCATTTGCATTCCTAGTAATTGCATAAACAAGGAATATATTTTTAACATCAGCTATCTGTTTTTCTTGTGGAGCTTTCTCTCCTATTCCTTGGATTTTCTCTGGGCTAGGTTGGTGTGACTGGCCCCTAAAAATTCACCTTCCATAATTACACTTCTTTTGCACAGAGATTTGGTAGTTGAAACCAACTCAAGTGAAGCCTACTTTGGGCAACCTGAGTAGATCTTCTCTTTTACAGCCATCCTTTCCTCCCTCCTCATACCTATACAAGCCTACCTGGAGTTGTGGTTCAGCTCCTGGGAGATGTCATCCACCATGTCATTTTCTGATGCCTCATGAGCCATAGCTTTGCACAGCTTACAGGCTACCAGTGCTTTGGCCATGGCCTCTTCCCCATGCTGCCAGAAGAATAAGGCCATCTTTTGCCGCTTCATCAGGACAGCCCATACCATGAGCTCATGGAAAGGGAAAGGGAAGTGGTTGATCTCAGGGTCATCCAAATCAATGTCAACCTCTTCTTCTCTCTTTTTGGTGGTCTTTCTTCCTCTTCTTAAGGGAACATCATCCTATAAATCAAGAGAAATAAAATAGAGTTTGAGATAATAGTGAACTGAATTTTGTTTTGGATTTTTTTGGAGGGTGGTGGTGGTGAGGAGGAATAGTACTATTTAGGAATGTGATTTTCTCCCTGCTTCAACTTCCTATGTTTGAAAATCCTGTCAAAATCACATCATTTAATTTTCCTCTCTTCTTTTTTCTCTATGTCAGTGATAAGAAGCATTCTCTCTCTTCTTTTTTGATTCTCTATCTTTATTTTCTGTTGTCTGATTCTACTGGATTTAATTAATTAAATCTTCTATTAGTCATCCAATTGCGTTTTGTTTTCTACTCTTTGACTGTATAATATTGTTACTTTTTACCTTAACTCTAACTCTTTCTTCCACCCACAGAGCACCACTAACCTAAACATACTTTTAAAACATTTTATTTAGTGAATTAATAGCCCCATGTTATATGCTTGATTGATTATGAATAAATAAGTTATATCCTCACTGAACAGTAACCCCCCATACTGCACCATTCTTAATCCAAAGATTCTTTCCAATTCCAAGTATCTGTATTGAACTTTATTATTGTATTAAATTTTTATTTTATATAATTTATGTAAGACTAAATTACAGTGAGATCTCTCTTTTTAAAGATTCTATTTTTTCTGTTGTTTTTCAGTGATAGTTATTTATAATGCATATGGACAGCTATATCCTATCAATTAAAATACATACAAACTATTCTTTGTCTTGCTTGTATTCAAATGTCCATATAAGCAGATAAAGTAAAATGAAATACCTACTAGCTGCATATCCGAAATATATTTGGCTTTGGACCTTGTACTTTCTCTAAGTGTCTCCAAGGCTATTTCACTCACTGGAATTTGTATATCACAGAATCCAAGAGTTAGAAGAAACCATGAAAGTCATCTGGACCAATGAAGACTTCCAAAAGAATGCCCTCTACAACTGTGGTGTCAAATTCAAATAGAAACAGATCTTTGCTGGCCTCATGTTGACTTAGAAAACCACAAATTAACATTATCCATGTTGCAATACTTTTTGTTTTGTTCAACATTTCCTAATTATATTTTAATCTGGTTGGTCCTCATTTGAGAGTGTTGCTGGTTCAAGTTTGTCTCTTCTGCTCTGCAACATCTTTGACTAGGGATTTTCCATCAGAAACCTGATAACCTCCAGTGATATGAACTCACATGCTCCCAAGGCACCCCCTTCTCCTTTTAGTCAGCAGTAATGATGAGGAAGTCTTTCCTTACAGAGACCTCTACAAATGCCATCCACTGCTCCTAAGGGGACAAATCCCTCTTTCATATGTCAGCCATTTAAGTATTTGAGTATTACAATCATGTTCCTCTTTTCTTCTCTTTTCTAGGATAAACATTTTCAATGTTTTCAACTAGTGCTCACAAGGTCTTAAGTGCCCATACTGTCCTGCTTACTCTCCTCTGGAGTTGCTGCAGTTGGTTGATGTCCTCCCTAAAATGTGATGCCCAGACCTAATACAGTACTCTGATGACACTAGCATACAGCAGGGCTATCACTTTCCTAATTCTGAGCCCAATGCTTCTATGAATGTAGCCTAAGTACTTTCCCTCTTTTGACTTTAATGTTAGTTAGTATTGATTAATATTGAACTTGCAGTCCATGGAACTACCCAGATCTTTTCCACGTGGATTACTGACCTGTTGTGTCTCCGCTATAATTTACCTACTCATACAGTTGATTTTTTGAACTTATGTTTATGTCTTTACATATATCCCCATTAAATTTCACCCCGTTAGATTCAGATTAACATTTTAGACTGCTGAGACATTTTTGGATCCTGTCGTTATTAACCAATATGGTAACTCTTTCTACTAACTTTGGAATGGCTGTAAATTTGATAAGCATAAAATCTATTCCTTTATCAAATCACTGATAAAAATGCTAAATAGCACAGGAGCCAAGAATGGCATACTTCAGGAGAACCAGTGAATTCATTAAAGGCAAATAGGTGCTTTTTTATCATCTCCTCACTGAACTTTGGTTTTGATTCCGTGTTAGCCATTTTTATTCTCAGTTGTAACTAAGATCATTCTACTTGGCAAAGAAAACCAGTTAAGTAGTTCTGTGTTCTCTTAATCATCCACTTGGGGGCAGTAGTCATGCCTTCATTGAGCTTCATTTCATGCCCAATGTTGCTAAAAATCCCCTCCCACTTTTTTAAAAATTGTAATTAGCATTCACTCAGCCCTGGCTTCAGCTCACTCTGACCTTTGGTGTTCCAGAAGCTTGGCATTCCTTTCTGTCCATCCTCAAGTACTGCCTCTTATGTCTTTTAAAACTCAAATTTAATTAGTTTTCTCATGATATGCACTTAATATTATATATATATATATATATATATATGATATAGATATATCTCTTCAGAAAACTCTCTTTTGGGCAGGGTAGTTAGGTGGTATGGTGGATAGAGTACTGGCCCTGGAGTCAGGAGGATCTGAATTAAAATCTGGCCTAAGACACTTAATAGTTGTATGACCCTGGATAAGTCACTTATCCCTAATTACCTAAAACAAACAAACAAAAAACCCTTTCTTTTTCCTCTTTATTGGAAAAATTTGTGTTGCAACAGCAGCATTTCATTGCGGAGACCTTCCAAGCCACTTTTGGTGGACTTTTCCCTAGAACATTTTATTCGTTGTACATCTACCTAGGCTTTAAAAAAAAAAACAAAAACGAGCAAACAACTCTTTGAATCTTCTCTCTAGGGAACATGTCAAACTATGGCAGCTTCTTATATGTCAGGAACTCTAAGATGGAGGAGTCACTTCTTCCTTCATTAAAAATATTTCATCATTCCTTCTTTCTTCATTAATAATAGCTGGCATTTACATTGTGCTTTTAAGTTTGCAAAACATTTTATGTGTGGTAATGCATTGGATCCTCACAACAACTTTGTGAGATAGATGCTATTATTATCATCCTCATGTGCCCAGTGTCACTCTAGGTAGTGTGTTAGCTGTTAGTGTCTGAGAGAGGATCTGAACTCAGCTCTTCCTAGTTCCAAGTCCAGCACTGTCTCTCCACTGTGTTACCGAGGGGTCAGCATTAGGTTGTTTGTCAGTCACATTCAGTTCCCTCTATGCTTCCTACCCTTGTTCTAATAGCACAACAACAACAATAGCTAGCATTTATATTGTGTTTTAAGGTTTGTATATTGTGCTATATATATATATATATTATATATATATATATGAATAAAATCTTATTTGATCCTCAAAACAACTCTTTGAGTTCATACTATTTTCCTTTTTTTTTTTTTTGTGAGGCAATTGGGGTTAAGTGACTTGCCCAGAGTCACACAGCTAATCAGTGTTATGTGTCTGAACTCGGGTCCTCTTGACTCCAAGACCAATGCTCTATCCATTGTGCCTCCTAGCTGCCCCCATTTTCCTCTTTTATGTAAAGTTGATGACTATGATCATTGGTTAGAAGTTTCAAGGCTTTAGCAGATCAAGGCTGGAGATGAAAATACACATATATATGTATCTATATCTTATCCATATCATCTATATCCATCTATCTCTATATATCTAGCAATTGCTCTGCTTTGCACACAGAGAGGACCCTAGCAGATGTCTAGATAGTTGAAATTCCTCAAGTAAGTGTTTAATAAATGCCTGCCGAGTGATTGATGGATATTGTGCCTCTCTGTTGGGTTTGTGATATTTCTGGAATTTCTCATTTGTTTCCTTCTGGCTAGGTAGTCTACAGGAAATCTTTATGAAAGAATTGCTTCTGTTTCTCCAGCCAATGATCATTATAATCAACTTAATATAAAAATGGAAAATAGTGTGAACCCACAGGATTGTTTTGAGGATCAAAGGAGATAATACATGTAAAGCATACATTGCAAACTTTAAACGTTAAACTACATAAATTATTGTTTGGTTGTCTTTCAGTCATGTCTGACTGTTCATGACCCCATTTAAGGTTTTCTGGAAAAGATGTGGTTTTCCATTTCCTTCTCCAGTTCATTTTATAGTTGAAGAAACTGAGGTAAATAGGGTTAATTGACTAGCTCAGGGTCACTTAGCTGGTAAGTGTCTGAGGCTGAATTTGAACTCAGAAAGATGAATCTTCCTGACTCCAGGCCTGGTGTCCCAACTAGTTAAATATTGTTGCCCCAATTATTATTATTGTTGTTAGGCAGGTGGGTGGTGCAGTGAACAGAGTATAGTTCAAATCTCACCTTAAACACTTACTAGCTGTGATCCTGAGCTTAATGTCTATGTATCTGTTTCCCCATCTGTAAAATGGGGAAAATAATCTCACTTGCCTCATAGAGTTGTTGTGAGAACCAAATGAATATATAATATAAAGTGCTTTGGAAACCTTAAAGCATTATTTAAATGCTATTTATCATCATCATCATCAACATCATTGTTAGCATTACCTACCATTCTAGTTGTTAATATTGTAAATGAACACTTACCTCCATTCCTAGAAGTTTCAAGGCTTTAGGCTGTCAAAAGAAAGAGGTGAAAAATATTTTACATTTTTTCAGAGAAATAATGAAAAAATCTTACAATAGCTAAAATTAGTATGTGAAATAAATTATATGGTACCAAATGTCATAGTCCTATTTCACTAAATAATTATTAGAGAATATAATGATGTATTTGTAAAGATTCTAGCAGAAGTAAAGCTACTGAAGATATCTGAAGTTTATTTTGTGAAGCTCAGAAAACTGGTGATAATGGGTGCTTAATATTACTTCATTTCCTCTCCAAAGGCAGTCTATAGAGTTGCAATTTCTGGGTCATAACTTCCCTTATTCCTACCACTTCATTTTTACAGTATTAATAACCACCAAACATTTATATGAGCAGTAGAATAGTGAACCCAACTCTTCAGGTATTTCTATAATCTGATAAATTCCATCTGGAAGTTTGACAAAGATAATGTAAAGCAGATGGGCAGAATAAAGGCAGAAATGTGTACTTTTCTCTAGCTTTTGTTCTGGCCTCTAGTTCATTTGCATACCAATCTAAGGGAGCCCTGGGAACAATGTTAGACTCATCTAGACAGTTTTCTACATTGCTCCTGTGTGCTGTTCTGTTTGAGCAGAGGCATTGGAATGGGTTTTGAGAAGGCAGGCTCACCATCAGTGAGTCACAAATAATGTCACTCAAGTTAGTTGTTTGAGATCTTAGATCTTGAATCAGGATCACACATGACCAGAGAGCTAAAAAACAAAATAAAAACCAAACAAAACAAAACACAGAAGCCAGCAAAACTCTTCAGATTAAGATTAAATCCCTTCTTTTGTTTACCTTTGTTGCTTATCTGATTTTAGGCTAAAAAATTCCTTATAACTTCCACAAAACACTTAATTATGAGGCTATGTTCCTAAAATCCATTTCTGGTACTCTGATATAAAAATAAAAACACAGGAGTTATGTGGAAAGCTGGGGTAATGAGGCTGACTTCAACTGAAGATCCCCTTTGATTGGCATGTAAATGAAACTAAAGCCAGACAAAAACTAGCTGAAATAAGTAACTTCCATGTTCTTGCCTTCGTCAGGAATATCAACTACATTCCTGCTTTCCGCAAATGTTGTTTTGTTTATACTGAAATCTAGATACTTATCACATATTTCATTTTTCATTGGAATATTTGTATGCCAAATAGGCATAGATATTCTTTTCCCGATCCATAAGAAAGCACAGTCAGAGGAAGTTACCACTTCATGACAGGAGAGAAGCAGGTGCATAAACTCACATAATGTACAGTGGTATCCTTTAACATGGAGATCATAGGATTTGGGACAGCTGGGTGGCGAAGTTGATAGAGTTCTGGGCATGGAGTCAGGAAGATTCATCTTCCTGAGTTCCAATCCAGCCTCAGACACTCACTGGCTGTGTGACCCTGGGCAAGTCATTTCCCCATATTTGCCCCAGTTTCCTTATCTATAAAATGAGCTGGAGAAGGAAATGCAAACCACTCTAATATCTTTGCCAAGAAAATCCCCAAATAGGGTTATAAGAGTCAGACATAACTGAAATAATTGAACAACATCATAGGATTTTGGAATCGGAAGGGACTTTAGCTATATAATCCAACCTCTTGTTTTGTAAATGAGAAAACTGGGGCCCAAAGAGATTAAATGACTTGTCCAAAGTCACACAGCTCATTCATTAGTGGCAGAGTTGGAGTTCAAACTCATGTTGAACTTCTGGCATCAAATTTAATTCTTTTTCTAATATGCCTACTGGAAGGGTATAGGTATACTTCGGGTTAAAATAGTGAGAACCACATATTTTGAATAGAATTTGACAGTAGGAGAAACAAAATTTGAAACCAGCTTCCATGGGTCCATGGATGCTCTAAGCATGCCAAAATGATTTAGTATGCCCTGGAATAGAATTTTAATAAATGGTGAGGTCCTTAATATCCATATCCATACTAACCTCCATATTTTTGTTAGCTTGTGAAATATAAATATATTCTCTCCACATCAATAGTCTGAGCAGCTCACATTCATTGTCAGAGGTACAGGCACACTCACACATGCATGCATACAAGTTCAGCTCCTATAACAATTCCCTTTCTTCAACTAGCAGCAAGACAGGTAAGTTGATTTTGAAATTTGTGACTAGTGTGCAAAAGTCTTGGCTACACTTCTTTAGCCCATTTCATGTAGGCTTGTAGTTGGATACTAATTTGTCCCACACTAACAATCTGTTTGGACTCTGTCTGATTTGTATCCATTGTTTCCTTTGGGTTAGTGGCCAAGAAGCTCAGGAGACAGATAACTGCTCCCTTTCAACCTGGTAACTTTTGAGAGCAAGGGAAGAAAAATCCTTTACATCTTGGTGAATAGGGCCAGGGTCCTAATCACATTACATATAGAACAGGAGAGAGTTAATCGCCTCACCCTCTTGGGTCCAAACAGATTATGGTAGAGAGTCCGGAACCGTTTTCGAGTATAGTTGCAGCGATAAGCTCCTCCCATCAGGTATTCAATCACAAGGCCGATGTCGATTAAACTTATCCGGTAATCTGGTGGCAGGTTCCCCTAGCCCAGGAATGAATTAGGAAAAAAAAAAAAAAAGAGGAAACAAACAAATCCAAGAGACAAGGTGGTTTACTAAGGATCCTGCACCACATTCTCTGTAACTATTTTACAGTAAAATTAATAATAACAAAAAAAAGAAACATTTGAATGTATTATTAGGCTGGTTAATTAATTCACCTTAAAATAGATCCAACCGAAACCTGGATATTCTCGCTTGGAAAGAAGACATAAGTTAAATAAGAAGATGCAGTAATTGTTGGCAGTAACAGGAATTAACATCAAAATGCAGGATTCAATGTCTTCAACTGGGAAGAAAAACACACCACTGCAGCACAAGAAGCATGAGGAACAGACATGGTTTAGAGGTCACTGTCACCCCTCCTCCCCCACCCCCCTCCTATCACTACAACCTGGTCTCCTGAGAGTCTTTCATTCACCTACCATAGCAACCCACCCTCTGCCTTGTCTCTTTGCCTAGCAGGTTCAATGCCTCTACTTTTCTCATTCACCTGCTCATTGAGATGGAAGATTTTAGTCTCTCTAAGTTAAGTTTCATTATCCTTTTTCTCTGGATAGCTGTTTATCAGTGATTCCCAAAGATCGTATATTCCTTCACTCGTTACATGAAGACTCATCTCAAAGGATGGTTTTTTTTTTTTAAACTAAGGTTTCCATCATGGGTTGGGGGATGGTGGCATATGACTGTAGCTTGGATGCCACTTAGAAAAAATCAGCAGTAGTGGTAACTTTTTTTCAAGAAAGAAGGGGGAGGGAATATGAGAAAGTCAGAAAAATATATCCTCAGATGACATAAAGAAATGGCAAATCGTCTTTTAAAAATGATTACCTAAGCCCAAAGAAATAGAAGGAGTAGGCAGGGATAAAAGGGAGAAGAGAATGGAGGGGATACTTTTCTGTGGAATCTTTATTTTTCTGAGCATCGAGAAGATTTCTCATTCTTAACCCTGTAAAGGATAATATTTATAAGTGACTGGTGACTAGGAAGTCTCATTTGGCTGCTTAACTTAGATGAATACCCAAGTGGAAAAGATTTAGGTAAGGCTTAAGTGGCTTTGATTCTTTTTCATTTATTTTCACCTTTATTTCTGCTTCAAAAGGGAGATTCATAAGGCCAAAGGAAATTTCCCTCTCTTCTAGATTAGGGTTTGTTGGCTCCATTAGCTGCTGGCCTTATTCCATCTGTCAGAAATCCTGATCCAACAGTGAATTTCAAAGGGGCACAGCTGAGCTCTTCAGGCCCTTCCTTAACTGAGCAGAATGAGGAGATTATCATCCCAGGATTCCTCGCTGAGGGATGGCTATGGTGTCACAGTGTTCAAAATGACCAAATAAATATTTACATGGCATAGTTTCTAAAACAGACTTTGGAACAATACACAGAACTTGTGTCCTCCAATAAAGCAAGGCTGCAGCCAACACTACATTTGTCTTTAATGAATCACTTCACTTAAGAATGTCAGCAAGGGGTGGTTAGGAACCTAGCCAACTTGACACTGACCTTTTTACTTTATCTCAAAATAAGGCAAAAGAAACCATGATGAGATACCCAGCTAGTCTGGGTTGTACGTGGTGTACAAAGATATTCTCTATTTGTATGTCATATGCTTTGAATTAAAAAGTGGTGGTGGTATGCATTTAATGAGTCATTCACACCCAATTCCCTGGTGACCAAGAACACATATTTAAGGACTGGCTGGCCAGGGTTAAAGATGCTATTTGTGGAAATGGAACAGAGTGAACTTCATTAGCATGGACTAGGATTGAGCCTCTGATCTTGGGAGTACTGTGTTCTAACCCAATGACGTGAGGCATTAAATACATGTTTGACAGCCCAGATTGAACCTGGCAATTTTGTCTCCAAATCTCCTTGCTTCTACTCCTGAGGTCCAATGGCAGGAATCAGGTTGTCAGAAAGAGCCAAAGGGGCTGCTATCATTTCATTACCCACTACTGCTTTCTCCGTTTATTCTGTGACTTGCTTGGCCGTTACCTCATGTTGTCCTCATGTTCTGTCTAGGAGTGGACAAGGAGCAAGTGTGTGTGAATAAGCAGGGTTGGGCTAAGGGAAAGCTGTCAGTCATACAATATAAAAGGTAAAAAACATTGGGGGGCATAATGATACCTATTATTCATCCCACTGGTCAGTGGCTATTAAAAGCTATGGTGCACATTTCATAAGCAAAGTGACTGATGCTTATGTAAGTGTAATGTAATGTATGTAAGCGATATTCCTTATAGCACTTTAAAGTTTGGAAAGTACTTGATGTATGTCATTTGTCTGAGTCTCAAAACTATTCTGTGAAGTTGGTACTAAAGGTAGTAGCTTTTTTTTTTCAGATGGGGAAACTGAGCCATTAAGCAGTTAAGTGATTCACCAATGGTGACACAGAGGAAAGATGAAAATCTAGGTCTTCCTGATTCCAAATACAGCACTCTGTCCACTATGCCATGCTATTATATGTCTGTGGCCATATCACTTCATCTTTGTGGGCTTCATTATCTTCATCTAAAAACCATATTTGCATTGCCTGCCTCACAGAGTTATTTTAAGGCAGGTGCTCTATGTACCTTAAAATGTATAAAAATTAGTTATTATTGCACCATCTCCTATTTGTTCACTTGGTTTCTCTGCTTTTCTCAGTTTTTCAAAATTGTGTCTTAGTCTAGGGAAATGAGCAATCTACATTAACCTAGATTTGTAGCATTAAGCCTAATCTGGCATCAGAAAAAGATGATTTACTTTGATTATTGCTTGCAAAACATCCTAATTTTTTTTGGGTGGGGGAAGGAAATTCAGAAAACTTTTTCTAAAATTATTCGCTTTTTTGGTCCTTATTTTGTTGATCTTTTAAAGGTGCAATGTATTTTTGCAAATTTTACCTGTATACTTAATATTCTATTATTCAAAGGCTAGATTATTCAATTGCTGGGTGTTATAGTGGAAAGGGGTACTGGACTAACCTTCCCAGAATATTACATCTGGAACATCTGGCCAGGTTCAAGTTCTTGACTTTGCCATTTTACCTTTTTACATTTTCTGAGCTTAAGTTTCTTCATCTGTAAAAATAGATATAATAATTCTTGCTCTGTAAGTCACATGGTTGTGAGGCTCAAATGAGCAAATGTATGGTAATGACTTTGTAATTATAAAGTGCCATATATTTGTGAGTTGTATTTCAATTATGATTCTCCACCTTCCTGTTTTATTTATTAAACATTATTAGCCCCCTCTCAGCCAAGAGGTATTGGGAGAGTAGGAGAGCCTAAAAGCAGTCATCAACCCTGTGGTACAGTCATTGTTTGCTTAATTTCATATAGAGCTAGTTAATTAAACTATCACAAATTCCAAGGCAGTAGGCTGTCAATTGAGGTATATAGTGTGATACAATATTTTCTAACCTGAGTATATATTTCAAAATAACCCATAAAAGCATTGGTTCTGACACCAACATTATTTAAATGGAAATGTGGCCATGAGAAGTCACTTAACATCCTAGTGCCCCAGGCAATTTTTTTAGACTTATAGTCTAGTCACAGATGAGTGGCCCAAGTGCATCTTTGGAGGAAATTTACACACCAGGAAATCCTTGTACTGAAGAAATTACAGGTCCAGACCTTTCTCTACCCTCACTCCATGGAAATTTTAATAAATGATCTGAATCAGCATGTGATATGTACATTGTCTTGGTTTGCTGTCATTATGGATATACCCATTAATTCAAATCATTGAGTTGCATGAATTATAAGTAACAGAAAGTAGGCAAAGATGGGGTCTCGTGTCTAGTTATATTTTAGTGTGATAGAAAGAGTACTGGACTTGGAAGCAAGTGGAACCTGGGTCTAGATTCCTGGTACTGAATCTCTCTGTGTCACCTTGGGCAAATCATTCCACCTGTGACCTTTAATCTTACATATCTCATATGTGTAATAAAGATGATAATACTTATGCTGCCTACCGTATAAGCCTGTTGTGAAGAAAATACGTTGTAAGCCTCAAGCACAAGTTAAATGTAAATTTATATCATTTATGTCAGAAAGCAATTTGATTTCTAACAAGAAATTTAGGGGAATTTATATATGTAGAATAATGACAGTCCATTTCTGTTTCAATATATTGCTATGAGAACTTGCAATGCTCCCCCATTAATGGTCCACTGCCAAGGTCAGTCCTTTACTTGAAGACTAAGAATGAGTGGTAATATATATGTTGGTGGAATGCCCTGAAAAGTGAGAGCTGTCAGAGGTGTGATAATACATGGTAAAACATTGAGTGGAGGAAGGATAAATGAAAAACTGTTTATGATATAATACTATATACACACATACATACATTTATGCATATATACATGTGTATACATATCTATATATAGGTATATGTACACATGCATATATGCACATGTGTATATGTGTACATATCCAGATTGTGGAGGCACATATAAAGAGATATCTAGTCCTGCTTCCTGCTTCAAACCATACCAAATCAATTCCTGAAGGAGTTATTGTAAAAAGTCTTATTTTAAATGACTACCAGGAAAAATTTCATTGTTTCCATTGGCACACATTTCACTGTTTACCAAGCATACATATATATATATATATACACATACATATACATACATACACATGCATATACATACATATCTCCATATACAATATATCCACCCATACATATGCACACATATATCCATATACATGTATACACACATTTGTATATATGTGCACACATATATATTTAGCAAACAATGAGTTGTGTGAGATATGTGCCAATGGAGGCAATGAAATCGTTCCTGAAAGTCATTGAAAATAATATTAAAAAATATTCTTCAGGATGATTTGGGTGTGGTCTGAAGCAAGAAGATGGGCTAGATATCTCCTTATGCCTAGTGATTTTTCTATAGTTGAAATGAGGCTAAAATTCACATGCCTGTTCTTGGATTTGTATTCTGAATGACCACAGAGGGGCAATGTTCACCTAACTAAAATAACTGAATATATGACATTTCTTTTTATTTATTGTCCAGATGGAAGAGCTTCATTTTTAGAGTGATCTACAACAAACAACTATATGGTGGACAGAGAGGCCTTTCAGGAAAGGGGGCTAAGAGTGTTTGTTGAAGTTCTCACTGGGGCGGGTAAATTTACTTCTGTCAAATATTAAGTACTCTAGACCTACCTATAATGGGTGCTTTCTT